TCCATTGCCCCCAAGGTGGGGAGGGGTATCTCCCACTTTGGGAAACACTGCTGTAGATGAAAGTCACTCATAGTGCAGTGCTTAAGCACTCCACTAGGAACCAAAACTTGGGCCTCAACCCCTACAAGCCTTCCCAGATGTAGCAGGATGCTCCTGTACCCAAACCAAACCCACTGCTATCGGATAGATTCTGACTTACAGTGACCCTATTCTGTGATTACAAATATTGACAAGGAGCAGACAGCCTCATCTTTCTTCCCTGGAGCAGCTGGTGGAGTTGAACTACTGACCTTGTGGTTAGCAGCCCAATGCTCAGCCTACAGCACCCCGGGCTGCTTTCCTGTGAGGATGAACTAACAACCCACTCTATCGTGTGCATTCCTACTCGGAGTGCTCTGTAGGACAGAGTAGAACTGCCCTTTTAGGTCTCCAAGTTTGTAAATCCCTATGGGAGCAGACTGCGTCATTTTTCTCCGGTGGCTGGTGCCTGTAAGGATGACAGCTTTGGAAATCGGAGGCTTTTTTATTCTGCTCTCTGGGGTCAACACAAATCAGAATCAACTCAGTGGCAGTGAGGTGTAACATACAATGGGCAAGGTAGTAGTAAATCGATGACCATAATCAGGTAAGGATGCTGCTCATATCAGTCTGGGAACGTAGATGCAATGATTCTCGAACAGACTAGCTAGCTGAACCTAGCAGTGTATGAAAAGAATAAAAGCATCTCTTCTTCAAGTCTTTGCTCAGACAGCACCCGCTGAAGGAGGGATGTCCTGCTGGCTGCATTTAAAACTGCACTGCATTTTGCCAGCATCTCCAGTCCCCCTATGCCCCTCCCATCCCGCTTGGCATGCATTACATCTGGCATATAATTTACTTATTTGTTATGTTGATAATTTGTCTTCACCTGCTGCAAAGCTAACTCCACGCGGGCAGCTACCTAGACCTGATGACACCCGGCAAACCTTTGTTGAAAGCATACATTCCAAATGTCTTGTGAGATCCTGGCTACTCGATGCTGTGTTTGCAGCTCTTCCATAGACGCAAACTATTTCCAAATGAAACAGCTGAGTGAGTGAGTTCATTAAACCAAGGAACTCTAAGATGCACTAACTGGGCAAATAAAGCAAAATGTCTCTTGTTCAAATGCCACCTCCTCAAGGACCGCGGTGTCCAAGCCCCGGGCAGTGCTGCCTCCTCCAGGGCCTGTTCCTGATCTGTCTTCTTATAGCCCGCCCTGGCCATCACTCATCTATCACGTCTTCGATTTACCCATTCCACGAGGTTAGGGAACCTTTTTTTGTTCCGCCTACCTCCAGTGCCTAGAACAGTGCCTGGCAGTACGAGCGCTCAGGATGTCTCTGGAGGACAAATTGGTGGGCAAGGTACAGACGTAGGAAAGTGAGACCTTCATACAGTCACACATGATGGCTGGTAGAGATAACCCCAGTGCCTGCCACTCAATAGCTGCCCATGAATGTGTTGTTGAGTTAATTAATAGTTATGGGACATGGAATCTTCCTGTTTGCGTGTGTGAGACGAATAGAAAATGATGTGGCTAACTGACTTGTTGGTGTATTGATTAGCTTCTGGGTTGGAACCAGTCACTGAGGGCGTGGTCAAGGAGAGCAGGGCAAGACAAACTTCCTGCCCAGACACCCTCACTAGTGAGTGCTTGTCCATGCTGGGACCTCAGAGAGAGCCCCTCCCATAATGTCACACCTCACCCAACCTGTTTGTCTCTGATGGTGGCCCTCAAGGGAACTTTTTCTCTCTCTCTTTAAATAATACCTTCCCTGTCCACACGCCGCCGCCCCCCCCCCCTCGCCCCCGCAAAAAAAGCCCTGTGGATTTCACATTTACTATGCATCACTTAAGCTTTTTTTCTTTTTAATTCAGAGGCAAGAAAAAGAAACAATGAATGCACAATACTTTTGACATCTGAAAAAGAAGCCATCTGTGTGCTTTGATTATTGAAAGTTGGGACTAAGTGAATTATTCCGTTTTCTTCGCTCTCTTTAGGACCTAGTTACTCCCTGCTGCACGACATTGAGTGCTGAGGGAAAATACAAAAACACAAAAATCCCCTCCTCACCCTTCTATGTCCCAGGTGGTGTGAGTTGGAGAGTCTCCTGGTATTGATATTTTCCCTCCTTACCTTGTGCATGTATGATATAAAACATGGATCACTGCTGGGGACTAAATGTCAATGTCAATGCTAGGAGACTCCCTAACTCAAACTCACGCATTGAGTCAATTCCGAATCCTGGCAGCCCTGTGGGACACAGTAGAACTGCCCCTGTGGGTTTCAGAGACTGGACATCTTCACAAGAGTAGAAAGCCTCGTCTTTCTCCTGCAGAGCACCGGGTGGTTTCAAACTGCTGACTTTGCGGTTAGTAGCCCACCTTGTAATTATTTTGCCAGCAAGCCTCTTTATTTTTAAAAATCATTTTATTGGGGGCTCTCATCACAATCCATCCATCCATCCATTGCTTGCACTTTTGTACATTTGTTTCCCTCATCGTTCTCAAAACATTTGCTTTCTACTTGAGCCCTTGATAGCAGCTCCTCATTTTGTCCTCCTCCGTCCCGGCTTCCCCTTCCCCCATGAACCCTTGATAATCTATAAATTATTATTATTTTGTCATATCTTACACCATCCGATGTCTCCCTTCACTGACTTCTCTGCTGTCCATCCTCCTGGGAGGAGGTTATATATAGATCCTTGTAATCGGTTCCCCCTTTCTCCCTCACCTTCCCTCCACCCTTACGGTATCGTCACTCTCACCACTGGTCCTGAGGGGTTCAACTGTCCCGGATTCCCTGTGTTTCCAGCCCTTTCTGTACCAGTGTACGTCCTCCAGTCCAGCCAGATTTGTAAGGTAGAATTGGGATCATGATAGTTTGGGGGAGGAAGCATTCAAGAACTAGAGGAAAATTGTATGTTTCATCATTGCTACACTGCACCCTGACTGGCTCGTCTCCTCCCCGTGGCCCTTCTGCAAGGGGATGTTCAATTTCCCATTGATGGGCCCTGGGTCCCCACTCCACACTCCCCCTCATTCACAATGCTATGATTTTTTTTTTTTTTGTCTTCGATGCCTGATCCCTGATCCCTTTGATGCCTTGTGATCTCACAGGCTGGTGTGCTTCTTCCATGTAGGCTTTGTTATTTCTCAGTGAGATGACCTCTTGTTTATCTTCTAGCCTATAGGACCCCAGATTCTATATCTTTTGACAGCCGGGCATCATCAGCTTTCTTCACCACATTTGCTTATGCACTCACTTTGTCTTCAGCGATCATGTCAGGGTAAGCTGGTATGCTTCTTCCATGAGGGCTTTGTTGTTTCTCAGCTAGATGGCCGCCTGTTTATCTTCAAGCCTTTAAGATCCCAGATACTATATCTTTTGATAGCTGGGCACCATCAGCTTTCTTCACTACATTTGCTTATATACCCTCTTTGTCCTCAGCAATTGAGTCAGGACAGGCTAGTGTGCTTCTTCCATGTGGGTTCTGTTGTTTCTCAGCTAGATGGCTGCTTGTTTATCTTCAGGCCTTTAAGACCTCTGGTGTTATGTCTTTTGGTAGCCAGGCACCATCAGCTTTCTTCACCACATTTGCTTGTGCACCTGTTGTCTGTAGCAATCATGCCAGGAAGGTAAGCATCTCAGACTGCCGAATTATTAGAACAAAGTGTTCTTGTGTTGAAGGAGTACTTGAAAAAAAAAGAGTGATGCACATCCTGGCTCACCAAGCCCTGAGGACAATGTTTCTGCTCAGAGCAGCAATGCACAGAGATGACCACAGGACCAGCCTCACCATGGGACACAGCGCTCCTCATTGACCCATAGCACCATTGGGGACAACACTAGAGACACACAGTGGGACAACACTAGAGACACACAGTGGGAATTTTGCTGGCCCTGAGCCCACTACACTGAAGCCAGCCTCTAAGGGCATGCAACAGAATGCCAGGGGAAGTAGAGCAATGAAGTCCCCAGGGATAGATGTGGGGTCAGGGCATGGCACCCCATCAGACTCAACTGGAAAGCACTCATAAAGGACAACAAATGGACCCTGAACTATTCATAGGGTTTTTGTTGTTGTTGTTGTTTTAGCTATTGTTTTACTTTTTATTGTTGCTTTATTGTACTCAGTCTTGTGATAGTGCATATTGTTGTTGCTGCATGTCTACCTGGAAAGGATAGGCAGTATAAACAAGCCAGAAGAGAGAACAACGGGATGACAGTTCTGGGGGGACATGGGTGAGGGGGAGGTTGGGGAAAGGAAGTGAGTGTTAACAAACTCAGGGACAAGGGAACAACAAGTGATCCAAAATCAGTGGCAAGGAGGGTGAAAGAGGTCTGGGAGGACTGGATCAAGGGCAATGTAACTGAGAAGAATTCTTGAAACCCCAATGAAGGCTGAACATGATAGTGGGACAAGAGGAAAGTACAAAGAAATAGAGGAAAGAACTAGGAGGCAAAGGGCAGGTGTAGAGATCTAAATACAGGCATATACAGATATAAATATATTTATATATGACGAGGGTGAAACAGATCTATGTCGATATATTTATAGGTTTAGTATTAAGGAAACAGATGGACAGTGGGCCCCTATGCAGCAGGCTTCTTTAGAATCTGCAAAACTATTTCCTTGCTTAGGTAGTTTTCTTTGGAACCCTCAAAGTATTTTTCAAGTATGCACTCTTAAATTCTGCATGCTTGATTTATGTCACACTAACTCTTGTCACCCTTCTCAACCATGGAGGGCCATGTGGTTACCCCTCTGCCCACTAGTGAGCAGCGGCTACATGCAGCACCTCTGATTAGAAGGCTTCCCTCTGGCAGATGAGGACATCTGTCCCACTCAAGTGCAAAAGGGTCCCCATTTATACTTGTGTACCAGAATAAAGAGAAGGTCATTTGCTCACCTTCCTGCTATTTTGATCAGACTATACGTTTATGTAATCACAATGGAAATTATTATTCATTGCAGGAGCATCAGGAGAGCATTCTGGGTAACACCATGCAAAGTGTGATTGCATTGCTCAACAATTTGGTTGCCTGCAAAGATTCGAATATGAAGCTACTTTATGAACAAGGTAAGTGCTTTTTACAATTAGTCTGTGATTCTGTTGAGTTCCAACTTGTGTGTGTTACCTCATCTTACCTAACAGAGTCAAGAAGTACTACACTTAAAGTAAAGTTGATGAATCAAGTAGATATTCAAGCATCTGTACATATTACCTGGAAAGATTGAAACTGGGTTTGATAGAGACAGTTTTATTCTCTTGCATGGCCAAAGTCAGAAGCCACAGCTTAAAGAGGATTAGCCAACCGAGTGTGATAGTTTGACTTATAGCTACCAATCAAAATTAATTAAAAATATAAAGTATCTTGGAAAGAGGCTTGAGGTGGATTGGGGGGCAGCATTCATCCACATCTTATGCTCACCCATTTTTCGTCAACGCTCACATCAGAAGTATTCTTTTAGAAAGATCTGTCACTGGATACACTTAGGAAGTCATTGCTCTGACTTTCCCTCCAAGACTTTAGAGTTCTGTTTCTATGTCGCCGCTACAGGTAAGTGTTGGCATTTCCCCCTCCCTTTTATTGTCCCCAAAGGAAGATGTCTGTTTCTCACAGTAATAAATATTGCCAACAGTAGTGGGACTTTACTACATACAGATCTTCCTTATTCAATCCTACAGCAGCTTCCTATTCTGTTTTGTGGCTGTAACATAGTTTATTTAAGCAGAGTGCTAATGATGGATATGAGGTATATTCTGGCTTTGGGTACTACAGACAGTACTGCAAAGGATGGTCTTAGACATTCTTTCACACGCAGCCAGAGCTATCTATTGGGACCAGAATTGATGGATCAAAGAGTATATACATTTGTCATTTTTGTAAATATTGCCAAATTGTTCTTTAAGTCATATTCCATTTATACCTCCACCAATGCACATCCTGATGGCCTGTTTAACCCTTCATATCCACATAATGGGTTGTTATACTTCTGTATTTTTGTTAATCTTAAAGGTAAAAAACATTATGTCACGCTAGTTTGAATTTGCACCTGCTTTTTATTTTGAGAGAGGTTGAGTATTTTTTCATAGGTTTAAGCACCATAGATATTTCATGTGCACTGTTAATTACTAACTCTTTCCTTCTTTCTCTGTTGGATTGTTGTTGACCTTTTTCTAATTGCTTTCTGAGAACATCCCTCTATATTAAAAACAAGTTGCAAATACTTTTGCCCTCTTTTTAAATTAAAAAAAAATTTCTTACTTTGTTACGATGTTTTTTGCTATGTGAAAGTTTTTGTTGCTGGTGTGTTCTGTTTCATGCAGGTGAATAGTCACTCTTATTTTATACAATCTGAAAATTTAAGAAAATTATTATGAATGTATATACCCAAACATTTGACACCTCAATCATTTCCATGTGTACAATTGAATGGGATTAACCATGTTTACCTGGCTGGGCAGCAATTACCGCTGTTTTGAGATTTTTTTTTCATCAAGTATTCTAATGTGTGTATAAATGGATTCCCAGAGACAGAGCAGCAAGAATGAGGCAGGAAGGTGACTTTAAAGAAACAATAGCCAAAGTAGCCCCAAATGTTGAAGAAAATATCTCAAGAGACAGGAAGCTTAGAAAACCACCACCAGGGTAAAAATAGGTGATTGGACCGCGCGCGCGCACACACACACACACACACACACACACACCCCAAAGCAAGTCATCCAAACACACGATTGTCAAGTCCTTACAAGAAATGAACATTACATCAGTTGGGTAAGCAGTACAAAGGACAGGGGACCACGCATCAGAAATAGAAGAGCCCAGAGAGAGAAGGGGACCGTTAATGTCCTGAATGCGAAAAGCTGTTACTCCAGAGTTTTCTATCCAGCGAAAATGCCCTTTTAAAATGAGGCCGCACTGGAGATCCCCTTGCAGAGGGGTCTCGGGGAGGAGATGAGCCAGTCAGGGTGCGATGTAACAATGATGAGAAATACAACCTTCCTCTAGTTCCTAAAGGTTTCCTCCCCACTCCCACTACCATGACTCGAATTCTATCTTGCAAGACTGGCTAGACCAGAGGAGGTACACTGGTACAGATAGGAACTGAAAATACAGGGAATCCAGGACGGATGAGCCCTATAGGACCAGTGGTGTGAGTGGCAAAACAGGGAGGGTAAAGGGAGAATGGGTAGGAAAGAGGGAACCGATTACATGGAACTGTGTGTGACCTCCTCCCTGGGGGACAGACAACCGAAAAGTGGGTGAAGGGAGACGTCGGACAGGGCAAGATATGACAAAATACCCATTTATAAACTATCAAGGGCTCATGCGGGAGGGGGGAGCGGGGAGGGAGGGGAAAAATGAGGACCAAATGTCGGGGGTTTAAGTGGAGAGAAAATGTTTTGAGAAACGATGTACAAATGCGCTTTACACAATTGATGTGTGTATGGATTGCGATAACAGTTGTATGAGCCCCTAATAAAATGTTAAAAAAAAAATGAGGCCGCATGTTGATGACAGCATATGACGAGTGTGCTTAATACAATTGAATGATGGATTATTATAAGACGTGTAAGAGCCTCCCAGTACAGTTTTTTAAAAGGCTACAATAAGGACATTTCAGATAAAGGAACAATAAGAGATTTTGTCATCAGACTTGCCTTTCAAAAATAAAGAATAAAAAATGCTAAACCAAACTTTTCAGGCTAATCTGAAGCAATACCAGATGGAAACTCATTGCAGAGGAAGGATAAATACGTGTGTAAATATAAAAGAATGTCTCTTGTTTCTTCCCCAAAAGACATTTTTTAAAATGTAGAATGGGGGAATAAAAATCTTTCCTTCCCAAAAAACCCGACACAAATGCTGGCAAAAATTGTGAAAATCAACTTTTAGAACTCTGTAAATTACAAAAGTATTACAGCAATATAAGGAATGTTTACTCCATAAAAACAGATGAATCCTGGTAAAAACAGCAGGGTTGTGGCACTGTCACTTGATATGATTCCATCCACATCTTCCCAAATACCTGGTAGGCTTGGAAATGAGCAACCTTACAAACACAATAGCTGTGGAAAATGAGCAAGCTTCCACAGCCCCTGGGAGAGAGTATCCCAGGTTTGTAACCCTCCCCAAACTCCTGTTGTCAGAGCTTTGTCCTCACTACTCAACCTGCTCCCAGCTCTCTGGAAGAGCCCCACGCATTGAGAATGGTCGTTCTTGGATCTGGCACAGAGCTCAAAAGCAGGAAGAGACCTATTCCCAAAGCACTTGTTGGACAATCACTGCAAGTTTGTTCAACATCACAACACCTGATGCTGAGATAGCCCAGTTGAGGCAGAAACTAAAAATGATGATCTGGGAGAGGCTTTGAAAAACTCTGCCATAGATATTTCCAGGGATCTAGAAGGCTGCACGCCACATGGGACTGTGTGCCTGACCAGAAAGACTCAGAAAGGGCATCCATCTCTCACTTCTGCCTGCCCAAGGTTGTAAACTGCCTGCTTGTTGAACGTGTGCCCCAACACACAGAACCCCTCAACAGAGGGTAAAAGACTTTCGAGTTCATGACAGTCCAGTAAATCTCTGACTTGTCATTAGCTGATCCTTGAGTCAGCAGATGTTTGATATATTTGCACCCATTTTGCAGCTGTTGATCAGATCCCTCTCATTAAGGATTGCCCTAGTTCTTGCTGACTTTCTCCTTGACCCAACGTCGTGTTTCTCCAGTGAATGGTCTTTGTGTAGGGTGTGTCCGAAGTAAGCAGATGAAGTCTTGCCACCCTCATTTCTAAGGAGCATGATGATTGTACTTCCTGTGAGCATTCTTTGTTCATTCATCAGGTGGGCAGTCCCTCATGTACTCAGTATTCATCACCATCACCACCAATTCAAACGTGTCATTTCTCCCGTCTTGTTTTTGTATGGTCGGTTTGTGCTGACATCTGCAATGATTAAAAAGCCCAGGGCTTTGTCAGCCGCACCAGCATCAGCAGTCATCTTTGCTTTCCGAGAAATGTAGAGAAATCTTTTGCTGCACATCTGCCCATTGCAGTACATAATTTCATTTCTTAACTCGGTGGTTCTCAACCTGTGGGTCATGACCCCTCTGGGGTCGAACGACCCTTTCACACGAGTCGCCCGATTCATAACAGTATCAAAATGACAGTTAGGAAGTACCAGTGAAAATCATGTTATGGCTGGGGGGTCCCCACCACATGAGGAACTGTCTGAAAGGGGCATGGCCTGAGGAAGGTGGAGAACCCCTGTCTTGACTGTTAATAGTTGTTCATTGTCGATCGAATTAGAATGAAAGCTTGACAGAGTCCATTTTTTCCCCTCTATTGATCATGATGATGTAAAAGGAAAGTATGTTAGGGTTCTCTAGAGAAACAGAACCAGGACACTAATGATTTTATCTATGTTATCTATGTTTAAATAGATAGATAGATAACATAAGAAATAAACAATTAACCTATAAGTCAGTACACATGGCTCTGTGCAACTCACTTCCGTGAGATAGCTAATACACTGGCAGTCCTTCAAGTCTTGAGGGCTGCCAGGTAGTCCTCTGTAGAGTAATTCAGGCAATCTGGCCACAGGCAGCAAACAGCAAGGCAGGTCACCAACAGTCAGCCAGATGACAGGGTCTGACAGTCCCCAGCTCAAGTGATGTAGACTCCAATAGCGTGGTGAAGCAGGTCTTGAAGGAACCTCAAACTACAGCAACACAGTCCACAGGTTAGGTGTCCGACAGGTAGTGTAGCTTGCAAATTGAGGCACAGAACAAACAAGGCAGCCTCACACTGGTCCAATCATCAAAGAGCAAGAGATACGAAAGGTGAGGCTTGCCGAGCCATTTATCTCTCTGCCTTTCAATTAATCCCACATGTGTTCATTGGCCATGTTGGCACAATAAACCTACCTATCACAGAAAGTATTAGGAACAGCACAACCAAGTCAACCCAATAGGCATCTGTAGGGAATTCCATGCAGTGGCAGCAGAATGCACCATCGAGTGCATGTGAAATGTTCTTCAGGGCTGTTCAAGTTGAAGCTGGTGGGGTAGACCTGC